TTGTTCAGATTCATCTAGCAATGGCAACGTAGGGTTGTTTAGTTTACAGATTCAAATAAATCAATTGTCAATGTTTAATATCATACGTAACAGACGTCATATTTTTACATGACATGATTAAATATCGAGGTAAAAAACACAGAAATGGGATCAATTCGGATCAGTCATTATACCATCCAGGCATTAGAAAACCTGAAAAAGCCCACACTGCTTTGATACTTATTACAATCAGACAAGAACTACCGGGGATATTTTCAAATAACTGCATCTGATGGGCATCCACCCTTCTTAATGGCGCACTGTTTAGGTTGAAGAAATTAACCGTAACCGTGATGAGCGAGGCTGATCAGCGTTTTCGCTATTCCTAGCGTCTGGCTCGAACAAATAAGGCTTAGCGACAGCAAGAGATTTTGACAGAATCGTCTATGAAAACAAGTTGTAACTCGGAAACTAGGCAAAGCAGGAGACACAATTAAATGACAGTAGATTGTGAGAACATATAGCATTCATTTTTCACAACAGTTGTCACGATTTCAGGTTTATACAAACTTGTAAAAAAGATAATTTACCCCCTGAAATGTAGATGAATTCTGCATCGGCCCTCATATCTATTCCTCATATGACGCCACAGAGACGCGCCGCCCTGATTGGTTGAAATTTCGTTCGCGGATGAGAATTGTGCACTGTTGTTAAAAAGGTCGATTTAAGTTACTTAAAGATCGAAATGAGTAGTCTTAATGGCCGGGTTTCATTTATAACGATGCCAATTAGTGATTTATGTATTTGTACCCCCCTAGAGTATATGTGATATTTAACATATCTCATAACAAAATACAAAAACATGTGATAGGTTTTTGATGTATAGCAGTGAGGGCGCTTTGACATGAGTTTCAACCAATAAAACCAATATAACGTTTCTGTGCCAAACTATTGATGGGTATCTCCCGCATTAGCTAGTTCAGTGTCACTAGTTGTTGTTGATCTGCGGATGCCCATAAAACCTTTACACACTTGCAACTGTATTTTTTCAATCTTATGAGAGCCAGTTATCAGAGCCTTCTTTGCTTTAAAAGTTATATGGTTTATACATGCCTGTCAAGTGAGATTTCTAGAAAATAGCATACCAAAGTAGTTGTACTTGTCTTTAATTTACTTGAAGACTCCATGTTTCGCAGTAATTCTCTAAAATATCAGTTTGCCTTTGGAGTCCTATTGCAGTATCAGGTAACAGAACAACGTTATCAGCAAATACAAAGGAACACTAGTAAGTCAGGGAATAACTGAACGCCATTTGTACAAGTGGACGTGATTTTGTCCGCCAATACATTAATGAAAAATGAGAACAGAAACGGACTTAGAACACAACCTCGTCATACCCCTAGAGGACATTAAAAAACCTTTGTGTTTACGTTATTCGATGTACGCACACAGGCTTTTACGTTTTCTTAAATTAATACCAAAGCCTTTGTTTGTTGACAGAATCGATGAAACAAGCATAGAGTTTTCCATTTTTTTTTATAGGTAAGTACTGACAAGGGCTGTAAGTTAAATATATGATCAGTTAGTTCAATTCTTCGATATTTTTATCACAGCACTTAGCCCAGAATAAGATGTTAGTATATAGTTTGCCAAAGACACCGTGAAGTAATATTCAGCTCTAGTCTTATCTCCATTTTTATATGAGACTGCATGTTTACATTACATTAAAGCACCAGTTTATAGCATGGTATCAACATGCGCTGCAGACCGACAATAGCACCACTTCTCCCCCTTTACAGTTATGTCAGTACCGTTAAGAGAAATGAGTTAGATCCTTTACCCAACCCTTTAAATAAATGATGGGTTGGGTATTTTATCTTGCCTTCAACGATGCGATGATTAAATTTAATAACAGTCTGCTACTATTCAGCAATAAAAGCGGCTAAACCATTTTTGCATCCTCAAGAAATATTTGCTGCTGTTCGTTACGACTCCAAACACAGACACATTTTGCTGTCCACATTATTGACGTTATTCAAGTATAAAAATGTTAAAATATCAAACTTCTACTTCGATCCCATCGAGGGCACCCTTTCAGATAATGTTCACACATCACCATGTCATGAAATACGTACATGTATGAAAAAAACAGATCTAAAACTTTTTTATCCAATTCATTTTCATGAAAAACCAAATGGGAGATTACTTGTGATTGTAAAATCAACACATGTAAAATGAACCTAACGATCGGTGGATTTTGTTTTATGGAAACCACGTTGTATGATTGCAATGATATTGCATGATCAAACAAACGTATCGATATTTCATTATTTGTTTCATGCTTTTCAAAGGCAGCACGTCAGTGAAATGGGTCGATACTTTGAAGGATCAGTATGATCTCACCCAGGTTCATTTATTGAAGCGAAAAGAGCATAACGCCACATAGAAGGGGAATTTGAAGATGTGGGTTAGAATTGGCCTTCTGGAACCCGTGCTTGTTGTAAGAGCCAACTAACGGGATAGGCTGGTCAGGCTCGCTAACTTTGTTGACACTTGTCATCGTATCCCAATTGCGTTGATCGATGCTCATGCTGTTAATCACTGGTTTGTATGTTCTGACACGATTATGTACAGACCGGAGTAATATAGCTTGGAGACTGCTGAGTTAAAAGTCAAGCAAACAAACAAACGTATGTAGAAACCTCAATCCGCTTTACAATAATTGCCATACTGTTTGGATTTTCAGACAAGGTTGTCCAGATAATATCATTTCTGTTTTCACCAGTATATGCCCGACTCTCTCACTTTCAGAAACAGTTTGTACACAGGTTACACTACCATTGTTTATTTTTTATCAGATGCAACCATTACTGTAAAGTTTGATATTCCCATAGAAATAGAGAAGAAGATTCATCACAAGTGGTTTTGATCGAAATATCAATACATCCCTGAGAATGACACTCATACAAATGTTGACAATGAGCCGACCCAATTCAGTGTAGTGTTATCATGGTCATCTTAAACACAAAGTACATGTTCAATATATCGATAGGTATACTTGTTAGTGCAACTGTAAACGGAGCATGGAATGAAACCTGTTATTAATCACGAACTCTTCCTCTCCAACATATGTAAACGTTGTGTATTTTGAAGAATCATAAGTATTAAAAGGGCAAAATACGACGCGAAGCTACACGTTTCGACGATGAGCAAAATGTTGGTTAAGCCATCCTTTGGCCAACAGGAACTTCATAAATAAAGACTTGAGAGAAATGCTTAGAAATTTGTAGGACAATTATGACAAGAGGTTAGTTACACTTGTTAGTGCAACTGTAAACAGTACATGGGATGAAATCAGGGAGTCCACTGTAATCACGAATTCTTCCTCTTTTGAAACTGTTTTAACGAAATGTGTTCCAAGGAGCTGGAAACAGAAGATGGATGTTGGCACTACCGGCCGACATATCTACAAATCTTTAAAGCCTGGTCGTAAAATGCGTTGTGGTGATGAGGCCATTCTGGCACGATTCCGACTTGGACAGTGTGGGTAAATGCCTGCAGGAGTATCATTGATAAGTAGGGCTCTTCTAACTGTGGCCATTGCAATTTGGAGACGCCGGAAAATATTTAAGACTATCATGCCCCTGGGAACAATTTAAATCAATATCACACGCACACCACCCATATGCTACAGGTTTAGATTTATCTGAGAGTGTTTTCTTATCATGTTGAACATTAGGAAGTTTGTTTTACGCCGGTTTCATAGTTCGCTGCTGTGCAATATCACTGGCCTATCTATATGGCTGAAATAACGTCAAAACGACATTAAAATATATTCTCTTACTATATAATTCGTTTTGGTAGAGATTGATTATCTTCAATTGAACTGACAACCAGTTTTCTCCACCAGGTACACAGTAGGCAGACATCAACTAGCCGAAACATTTGAGATTTCATCAGCAACGTACAATTCAAGTATGCGTACATTAAAGGAGATAACAATATTCTTCCTGGCAGCGTTCATTGGTAAGTTCGAGACTCACCGAGGTAATTGGATGTCATAGGTATCAGGTCTAATTGTCGCATGGCGTTTGCTTAGATTCCTCCTCGATTACCCGCTGTATTAGATATGTATGCTATTTAATGAATACCCTGGACCCTGTTCATCAAAACGATGTTAAAGTATTGGGAGTTCAGATCAACTATCGCTATAACGCATCCAGGACCCATTCCCCACAATACCACCGTTTCTAATGTGATTTCACCGGCTCCACTTTACTTAAAACAAAAAAAATCACCATCAACAAACAGTAAATGCCTCACCGTGATTTCACCGGCTCCACTTTACTTAAAACATACAAAAGTCACCATCAACAAACAGTAAAGGCCTCACCGTGATTTCACCGGCTCCACTTGTCCAATCCTTTACTTAAAACATACACAAGTCACCATCAACAAACAGTAAATACCTCACCGTGATTTCACCGGCTCCACTTGTCCCATCCTTTACTTAAAACATACAAAAGTCACCATCATCAAACAGTAAATGCCTCACCGTGATTTCATCGGCTCCACTTGTCCAATCCTTTACTTAAAACATACAATTCAACCATCAACAAACAGTAAATACCTCACCGTGATTTCACCGGCTCCACTTGTCCCATCCTTTACTTAAAACGTACAAAAGTCACCATCAACAAACAGTAAATGCCTCTTCTGAAAGCTTTCATCTAAAACCGAAAACTGTTGCACATCAGCAGACGCCACCAAGGTCATCGAGAAGAACCAGGCTTACTTCAAAACCCGAAAAACGACTTGAAGCTGCCCACATGAAGATGGTTTGCCCTGCTATCAACAGAGATGAAGGATATTTTATCCCCTGGGCCTATCATCACTTACTCAATTCCTGTAACTTTACTCAACCACTGTACATGATCTCTTGTATAATATCACTTCACTACTGACTTCTCAACAACCTCCTTAATCCTCTATTTAAACAACCTATGTAGATCATTCCCTACTGGTTGCCAATCAACATCCTTAACCTCTTATGCATGCTACCTATGTACATCCTCTTAACTGGCTGAACAAAGAAGTTGTATATCCATAAAAACCGTCTTCATTCTTCATCTCCTCAATTTCTAGAATGCCAATCAAAGAAGTAGAACATAATGTTTCCACGCGACAAGACGGGAACCAGTCTAAACACATTTAAGTTTTACACTGCAGGAATAAGTGATTAAAAGCTTCACTGGCTACAAATGAGTGAGTGAGTGAGTTAAAATTTAACGTCACCTCGGCAATATTGCAGCCATATAGTGACGTGAAATGTTGGACATACACAATAAATTCAAGTAGGTAAATAATGCGTCATCGACGGAATGTAAAATAATTAGAGTATCACAGATATGGATCTAAAACAAGCATGGAAAACTAAAACATTTTAATGAAAGCAGACAATACCATATAAAACACGGGCTAGAGATCGCCAACAACTGAGGGTAGATCTTCATACTAGGAACCATGGGGACTTACATTACTTTGCTATCTGCATGGACCCTAGTTGGATTTACACCATCCCTCAGCCACTTGAGATGGTAGGAAGATTCAGCCGAAATTTAAAATAACAAAAATACTACGATTAAAAAAAAATATGGTTGAGCGAAATTGACTTGTAAAGTTTTGGGACTTACGTATCCTCTCAGGAGGAACTGACTACAAATACTGATCGTAATTTTTTTATTGTAAATTTAAGGTATCGTAAGCCTAAGAGAGTTTTTGTGAAAAAAATAAAATCGTAAGTTAACGAGAAAAGTAACGAGATCTTGGGCTTATGAGAGTTTAGGGAAACGGTCTCCTGGCTTGCTTTTCCTTTCGTTTCACAAAGAACGATTGACCGTATTCAGTACTTCTATTTGATAATTAGGGTCCTCCATTCTGCAACGGTTGAATTTTGCAGATATATATCTAATATATTTTTGTGAAGACCAATTTTTCTTTGGTAAGTCGGAGTCTTAAAGAACTTTTGCCATATTGGACACTTCTTCCCAAATCGGAATGAATTTAACTTTTCAAACTTGTCCAGAATTCGCTATATACGATGGGAGCTATGCAAACCGTTTGTTTCTTTCAATTAAAATGTCGTTTTCAAAAACCAAATGATTGATTATACCTTACAGCCGTCGACATATACATGAAAGAGGCTAAACCAGAGTCGATTGTACAGTGTCATGAGTATGTGTTTATGGATCACTATCAAATTGTTAGGATAGGAGTAACATGGTGTAGCCTTCTGGATTTGTTAAAACGAAAGTTTGATTGTGACTGAAGGAGCACTTGATGTTTCAGATAATGCAACAACGACCCCAACACTGCCAATAAAAGTACACGCTTTACGGCACAACGAAAACCTGGAACGAGGCCCGTGCTGTTTGTGAGTCGAATGGTCAGCAGATGCTGAAGTTGGATACTGAGGCCAACTTTGACAACTTCATGGCGTGGAAAAACATCTGGGAGGCCAATGGACAGCTGTACGTAAAATTTATATAAAGCAAAATTATTGTGAAACTATTTCATGAACCTATAACAGAATCCCGCTGTGAACTGCCTGTTTGCGTTATCAATTTAGGCACTAGATCATGAAATGTACAGTTCGTATTGGTATGATAAGTGACTCCGAAAAACTAGCTGGTACCTTCACGAAGCTTTCAGGATACGTTGGGTCATGGCGACATGTGTATGACATGTTTTGTTGTTGTGACGCATGTGTGTGACCCGTCCGGTTAATCAGACATGTGTGTTACGTGTTCTGTTGTGACAAGTGTGTGACATGTTCTGTTGTGACCTGCATGTCACATGTTATGTTGTGACTTGCGTGTCACATGTTTTGTTATGACATGTCTGTGACATGTTCTGACATGTGTTTCTTATGTTATGTTGTGACGTGTGTGACATGTTCTGACATGTGTTTCACTTTTTCTGTTGTGACCTGTGCGACATGCTTTGTTGTGATATGTGTGGCATGCTCTCTTGTGACCTGTGACCTGTAGTGTTGTGAGCTACGTGTCACATGTTCTGTTGTTACCAGTATGTCACATGTTCTCTTGTGACATGTGTGTCTCATGTTCTGCGGTGACATGTGTGTAACAGGTTCTGTTGTGCCATGTGTGTCACATGTTTTGTTGTGCCATGTGTGTCACATGTTCTGTTGTGCCATGTCTGTCACATGTTCTGCGGTGACATGTGTGTAACATGTCTGCGGTGACATATGTGTAACATGTTCTGTTCTGACATGTGTGTCACATATTCTGCGGTGACATGTGTGTAACATGTTCTGTTTTGACATATGTGTGTCACATGTTCTGTTGTGACATATGTGTGACAGGCTCTGTTATGGTATGGGTGTGACATGCTCTTTTGTGATCTGTTGTGACCTGTATGTCACATGTTTCCTTGTGACATGTGTGTCACATGTTATGTTGTGACATGCCTGCGACACATGCGGTTCTTGTGACGTGTGACATTATATTGTACTGGGGACTCCTTCAAAAGGGATTATGGCGCAACTCTTCCAATTGAAAACATAAAAACTTAATTACGACAGTCAATATCGCTAAACATCGCTTTGTGGGACGGGTCCGAGACCGACCGTACCGCCTGCATTTTCTTAAAACAGTAAATTAATGTTCTTATATCGTATGTTTAGATACAAACTTTTATCATCATGCCTTACTTTATGAAAATGACTTCGTGAAATTACAATCCATATATGGGTGTTTCAGGACCGAAGGTATATGGTCTGGACTACACCAACATGTTCTCACAGACCCTACTGTGTTCAACTTGGAGTGGCATGACTGTGAGAGGCCACTTGGAGCCTACTAGTGCCTTGGGATAACGAAACGAACCAAACGCACCAGAAAGGAAAAGTGCGTACGGATACGATTAACTAACAAGTTCCGCACATTTCCATGTAGTGCTAACCGTCACGTGGTTTGTCAAGAGGCTACAGGTAGGAAGCTTCTTTAACTGGTGCCGAGTTCCAGCTAATTGTACGTTGAGTCTTGGTCAATGCAACCTGATGTAACACATTTGTTTGGTACAAATCAAAATGCAATCTGGATCTATGAACATTTGGATTAATGTTATTTTGTAACAGACCATTCATTTTTGGAATGCAGAATATTTCATGTTGCCAGATCAATTCTTACCACATATAAATATCAAAAACGAAATGGCTGAAGGCACTCGATTTATTTAAAGGTGTTTCTAATTCTAAGTGGGGAAGACATCAACACAAGACGTAATGAATAGGTGTATGGGCACAATATCCGCGCGTAGAAATTCCAAACATCTTCACTGATTCATGTTCCAAAAGCTGTTGTAGTGCAGGTCGTAAGTCTATGCTAATATATGATGGGTACATGATCTCTTTGAAGCGGGATCTTGAGTCTGAGGAAAATTTATTCTGATGTCTTTGGAGTAGACTAGTGGTTAAAGCATTCGTTCGTCAAGCCGAATACTGAGTCGATTCCCTACATGGGTATAAATGTGTGAAGCCCTTTTCTGGTGCCCGCCAGCCGTGGTGTTCCTCGCAGTATTGCTAAAAGCGGTGTCTAAACTCCTGATTTAATTTCGACACAATGTTGATCAATGTATGACTCGTCACACTTTGCAAACTATATATTGACGTGTTTTATGTGTTCACTAGATGAATGTACCTTTGAAAGATTTGATGGTCAGGACGTTGTTCTCCCTACGGCTGCCTCCTCCATTAATGTGGGTATTGATGACTGCCAGCGCGCATGTCTCACTTATACCGGAAGTGTACAGTGTGTTGCTGTAGTCTACAGCTGGAAACAGCATCTGGCGACCCTTGCAGGATCTACACTAGGCAGCAGGTGTACATAAACGACAATCCGGAAATGACGTCATCGTCTGGTAGAACAGCTCTCGTGAAGCGGTGTGTTCAAGGTACATATACATGAGAAGGTCTAGATCTTCCGTATGATGCAGGGATAGGAATGATTTAGGTATAGAATCGGTTCAAGCAACTTGTGTTTGTCATGAGGATGACCTGGAGTGATCTTTTTGGCTAGACTAAAGTGACCTGGATTTTGATATCATGTCATCGTGACAAAACAGTGTGGATCGTTGCTCATGATATCAGTCACTGGATTGTCTACTTCACACTGTCACGCAGACGTCCGTCCTATAGCGTAATTACTCAAACACTCCAAATAATTGCCTGTTTTTCAGTGACAGTCAAACCTTACATCGTGATCCCACATCTTTGTATTTATTTCAGAATAAAATGCACTGGGACTTTTCAACTTCTGTAACCGATTAATTATAAATACATCTGTTTCCTTTTTTTAATGTCATGATAAAATAACTTTCAGGTGATTACTTGTCGACTGCCGTATCGGTTCCAACAGAAACAAAGACAATGACCAATAACTACATGTCTTGTGACACGTCACTGACATCTATTACGACGATCAGAACCGATCTCAGCATCACCCACAACTATGGATATTCAACTGGATATTTTAACCGACGACTCAAATCAGGAATACATACGTTCTTCATTATGGAAGTTTTAGTAACGGTGATCCTGTGCTCGAAGTGCATTTACACTTATACAAATGGCTTTCCTGAGACGAACTCGTTGACGTCCAGTTCAGTGAATTCTCCTGAGACATCCGTCATAGAGACTGAAGCTTCTTCGAATCATTCTACATCCACAAGTCGCATGTACTCAGTCCTTTATTTCAATGATTTCCAGTTCAGCCGGTGAAGACATCCGTCATTGAGACCGAATCTATCGAATCATCTGACATCCCACAATGACATCAAATAAAGCTTCCCCGCTCCTATCAGCCTGTATTCTTCAACCTCGTCTGGGGTTTTCCAGAGGCGGTACATCACACTCAATTTGTATTGGAGTAATGCTTATTTGACGTCGAATCTCTGACTTTCACAACGACCAAAGCAGCTTCTGCGTCAAACGTTGTTACACCCTCGGAAACATTAACGATGACCATGTCTGAGATC